ACACCTGCCGTTTTATTTCCTATGATTGCTGGACCACCACTATTTCCAGAGTTTATAGCCGCATCTGTTTGTATAGCGAGTAGTGTAGTGCCTCCGTGAGCATATTGTGTATATTCAACTCTAGAAACATAACCTTTAGTAATAGAAAGGCTGTCACCACCTGCATAACATAAGTCATTATTAATACTTCCTCCGTTCTTTTATAGATGATGTTTTAGGAGAATACATCCAAATTAAGAAATCATTTATTTTTAAACAAAACATCATTTATTATCTAATCAACTAATAGAAAAATAATCTGCATAATATAAATCATCAAAACCAATAAAAACTAATTAATATTGCATTGAAAACTGAAAAAATCATCTATTTAAGAACAAAAATATAAGCTTAAAACATCATTTATATAAGAACGGAGAGAGTAGTTATCATCAATATCCACATGCATTCGTCCTTTCACATTCCGAATATCAATTAGTCCATGCAAGTTTTAACCTATTTTTGTACCCAAAACTTTTAACCTATTTATTCAACCCGTTTATTATTTGAAGCATTTTCAAGAAATACCATGAGGGTAGCCTAAAACAGCCACAGATTCATCCAGAGAGGGTATCTCTCCGAGTTCCAAAGGGTTCATATCCTCCCAAAACTCTTCATTATCGATCTCCAAAATGGCCAAATCACATTCATGTCCAACCGCTCGAACTTCTGCTTTGTATTTTGTGGGTGAGCCATGTTTTCTAACTTGCAAAAATATGTGATCAGCAACTACATGAGCGTTCGTAAGAATCTTCTTTCCCGAGATTACAAATCCTACATCAGTTCCAAGTCAGTTAGGAAAATACTTACGCGACTCTTAAAAGAGTAGGTAAGAATATGGATTAAACATTAATACCAGAGCCGCTCGTTTCTTCTTGCTGCCAATTCCGCCAAGGTTGTAGAATGCTAGGCACGCTAGAGACAGTGAAGACCTTCACAACTGAATTTACAGCAAAATCAATAGAAGAAGATGTCACGTTTTCAGCCGCATTCGGTTGTTTTGTGTCGGTCCTTGATGCAAGTGTTGTTGACTCGCTGTTGTGCTGATTTTCGTCTTGCAATTTAACGTAACCAAGAAGAAACAAAGGAGAAAAACGGGATCCAATAACCGAAATGAGCAAGAAGCTGCAGAACCGAGCCAATGTTTGAAGAAATTGGAACAACATATTGAGGGACTACGAGTACGTTTGAGATTTAAAACAAACATGACTAGGTCATTATTTATACTGTTATTAGCTTTGTTGTCTTTAAATTCAAATTAATGTTTAGAATTCTAAGACTTTAATTAGCTTACTTATTATCAATTGTTTGATGGATACACTCATATGTAATTTCTCTTATTATAGGAAAATATCTCACATGCTTTTCTTGATTTGTAATGAGAAATACATGCTAACATATATTAATTTGCATTTAAGGGAAATAAATATTAACTAAATTAATATTAAATCTCTAAACATCAGTATATAGTTAATAATTCTTATATAATATAATATATTAAAGGTTCTTATAAACACAAGTTTTGAGAAGCTTACACGTACTTACTTTTCTTTTGACATGTGTCATTTATTTAGATAGGTCCAATCTTATTATCATAAAACAATTTTATTTTAAGAGTATCTACAAATATTAATTTTTTCTAATTCTACAAAAAATTGATTTAACAAAAAGTAAACAAATTAGAAATATTTGTTATAAAAATAAGATTATATAATAATTGATTATTTTGAATGTGTAAAATTTTTAGAAATTTATATTTTTTCTTTATAAGAACCATTTAAAAGTTAATTTAAAAATAGTTCAACGAATCATAAAAATATACAAAAAGAAGAAATGGTCACAATATATCAAATCATATATATGAAAGTTGACTAACTCTCTCCATATGAATGTCACATCATTACATAAGAAAATGACACACATGTCATTTTCCATTAATTAAATAAAACAATTAACATAATTAAGTGAAAAATCAAAAATCCTCAATTGTATTAAATTCTCCATCAAGACCACTTTGAATTGATTTCTTCAAAATAAAAGAAAAAAGCAAAAAATCATGTTAATATATCAAACACTATTTCTTATTATTATTTATCAATGGTCATTACTCAATAATGACAAAGTTTACAGTTTAGCTGTTTGCTACCTATCTCTTCTTAGTTTAGTATTTTATCTTGAATATTTTATTTGCCATTCTTTCTTTTCATTTTTGTCCCTTTGGTAGTTAAGTTGGTAACATTCACAATGATATGCAAGTTTTTTCATGGACCTTTTGAGACGTTAAACATATTAAAAGATTCAAAATACGATAATTCTCTCCTATATATGCAAATACAAGGAGAGAGATCTAAAAATGTTGACCTAAATGACTCTTCGATTTTTTGCTTTCTTTATTTCTTTCATATGAAAACTCTCGAAGAAAATGAATAGTTAGTTATACATAGATTGTTCAAAATATGTCAATTTACTATCTAATCATGAGCATATTATGATGTGTGTGGTTGGAGTACCAGATCACAAGAGATTACATAGAACAAAGAATTGTTTGTTTATAAACAAGTTTGACAAGTTTCAAACTATATAAGTAACACTTTATAATAGAAGGATTTAAAAAAAAAACTCAAAGTTTTATATTGAATCCTGAGATCTCTAATCTAATTTTTGTAAACGCGTTAAAGATTTTAGATTAAAATAAGCATATCTAAATAACATGTAATAACACAATTTTTTAGTCGATAAATAAAACTACAAATTAAATTTTAAATATTTTCATGATTTATATCATACAAATAAAGTTGCATTTCCGTCATTCATAAATTTAGACTCATAGATTCGCAGTTTCAATTTTTTAAAAATAATATATAAAAAATTTGTTGGTGACAAAATGCATGTACTATATGTTTACATTATTTATGTTTTAAATTAAAAAACATAATGTCTTAATATAAAAAAAATTTATATAGAAGTTTTCTTTTTGAAAGTTCGAGATATTTAATTTTGCTAAGTTTAGTTAATAAGAGTAAATAGTGTATGGAATTAAAATTGTTTGTCAAGATAAAAAAATGAAAAATAAAAAAGATGAGAATAATTGTGGATTTGACACATATGCACAAAAAACCCCTCTTTTAATATATAAAAGAGAATTATATACCATTGTATCAATAGAGCATATATTGTTGTTGTATGTATTTATGATAGTGAAAAAATTAGAATCTTAGTTATATAGATAATTAGATTTATATATTAAAAATGTATAATTGATATTTCAAGTCAAAAATGAATCCAACCATCAAAATTGTAATTATATAAATTAGCAACAAAGAACGGTTAGTAGAACTTATTTTTAACAATTTTCAAAACAACAGCCCACATGTAGCATGGGTATTCACCTAGTGCATTTAAATTTGGGACAAGATACTCGTCTACACGACGTATAATAGAATACATGGTTACACATTCCAAGTTTAGAAATGTATAGCCGATTACACGAAATAAATATATCGCATGCCCACAAGTATATGACAACATATAGTTAACATCACGACCATTTTATTCTAGTACACCATTCATTGGAATCCAGCGTTGACCGGTGTTGAACCGACATTTAGTTCTTTTATTTGATTATTCTCCATTTTCATGGACATGATTATGAGCAAAACAATGAAAAATAAACGATTATGATTTTTGATTTGTTTTTGAAAAAGAAAAAATCAGATTGTACAGTATATATTAACATTCAAATCAACAAATACTAACTTTAGTGGTTTCAGCATAAAATATTTCGTAAATTTATGTCTTTGAAATACATGATTTTGATATTTTAATATTATTTTTTGAGAATAATAGAATAATGTCTGAATAGATGATTCTAGGGGTATTCAATCCAGGTTTTGGTTCAGATACGGTTGAGTTTTTTTTTTCCGGCTTTTACGGTTCACTAAATAATGGTAGCCAAATGAAAAGCTAATTGAGATGGTTTGGTACAGTTCGGTTAAAATTCTGGTTTTAAGTCAAATAGATACTTATTTACAGAAAAACCTCGATTTTATATTAAATTTTTTCTTTTTTCGGCTTTGTTCTTTGGATATAGAAAAAATGAATCGATTCAACCCATAGTAAGATATGGTTCAGTTTTTAGACTGAGTATTTCGGTTCAAATTCATATTGGTTTATCCAGATTGAACATCCTTAGATGAATCCAATTGATATGTATAATTTTCTGAAATCTTAACAAAGTTACATAAACAAAGAGGATATTTATTTATCTGTATTTTTCTTTTTCATGAATTATCTAGCTTAGAATAACGCATAACTCATCAAAACTTAAAAAAAATAGAATTTTTATTTTATTTTTTGGATGACCAGGACGGACACGCTTTTTAAGACACTTATTATAGTAGTAAAAATAGTAGAAAGTAAAATAATTTGATTGGAGAGTTATAAAAAGCAATTAAAAAAATAAAAACTCAAAACTTTTGGTTAAGAAAAATAATGGACACATGAGTGTAATAAAATAAAATACATTCATATTCAGAGAAACAGAAAACCAATATGTAATTGATTTAAAAATAAAATAATAAGTCGATCACTTTAATTAAAAGAAGAATTAGATACTTAGGACGCCTTCTATACGCGTATGTTTTTAATTAAGAAGAACGTGATTTTTGGTTTCTGTTAATTAAGAATGTGAACCTGATTTAAATCTTATTTTAATTAGAATATTATCAGATATTAGAAAATATTTAATTAAAGTGATATACACTGAAACAATTAAGATATAATTTACTTATTAGAGATTATCATCGTAAAACTAACTATCAAACAAATTAAAATCCATAAAGATAAGAAAGAAAAATTCTGCTTAGCTAAATTTTCCCATGCACTAAATATATTGCTACCGATTGGTTTAGAGCTAATTAAACTACTCTTATCGCTTTAAAGCTTAGTTGTAATTTGCTACCAAGTATCAACTGCTCAGAGAATGTCCTTGTTCCGCTCTGTTTGTACCGTGTCCCGGTTCTACATCGACTCGAGCACTCTCGTTCCTGGACTCCTTCGTTTCAATACTTCCAATATTCGCTGCTTTTCATCGGAGAAGTCAGTATACGCACCATTGTTTGCTGCGGAACATTGGAAGAATACGCTTCCGCAAGGGAAAAAAGTATCTGCTATTGATTTGGCTCTTAACTCAGTAGTGAAGGTGTTCACTGTCTCTAACAAGCATAGAACTTTTCAACCATGGCAGTTTTGTATGCAGGATGAATCTACCGGCTCAGGTAGTGATTAATGTTTTCATAACTTACATAAGTTACGTTAGTTGATTAAATTTGGCTAGTAGTATATGTTTGTTGTGGTTAAATACATACCGTGAAATTTGTTGTAGGATTTGTTATCGCGGGAAGGAAGATTCTTACGAATGCTCATGTAGTGGCTAATCACACATCTGTTAAAGTCAGAAAACATGGTTCACCCACGAAGTACAAAGCAAAAGTTCGAGCAATCGGGCATGAATGTGATTTGGCCATCTTGGATATCGATAGCGAAAACTTTTGGGAGGGGATGAACCCCTTGGAACTCGGGGACATACCCTCTCTGCAAGAAAAGGTCTACGTTGTTGGCTATCCAAAAGGTAAATTTTAATTCTCATATGACCACCCAAACAAATTACTTGTTAAATAACTATAAATATAGATTTGTGAATAACAAACCAAGAGGCTATGTTTCCTACATAGATACTTCTTTAAAATCCATACATACACTTTCAATTTTTCAAGTATGAATCGTCTTGGAAAAGGAATGCTATTTTGCATTACGTAGAAATCATAAGAATATGAGCATATAGGTTGTGACAACAATTTCTATCATGCAGGTGGTGATACCATATCCGTTACGAAAGGTGTTGTGTCGAGAGTTGAACTCTTAGAATACAGTCACAGCGCCACTGAACTACTGGCAATACAAATAGATGCAGCTATCAATGAAGGAAATAGTGGCGGTCCGGTAATCATGGGAAACAAAGTGGCTGGTGTAGCATTCGAAACTCTAGGTTGTTCCGATAGTATAGGGTAAGTTAAATTATAAATCCTGAATACGTTTGGTGGCAGAATTCAGATTGAAATATCTATATTGATATGAAAGTCTATATATGTGGACATGATATATAAGCTAATATATTTTACTTTTCTATTTATTTGCAGCTACATAATTCCAACTCCGGTCATTAGGCATTTTCTAAATGCTGTTGAAGAAAGTGGTCAACATGTTAGTTTCTGCTCAATAAATCTATCATATCAGAATATGGAGAATGATCAACTCCGTAACCATTTCAAAATGAGCGACGACATGACAGGGATTCTTATAAAAAAAATAAACCCGCTTTCGGATGCTCACAAAGTTCTGAAAAAAAATGATGCCATTCTCTCGATTGATGGTGTTCCTATAGGAAACGATAGTACAGGTAATTGTCACTATATATAATTTTTCCCATTGTCACACTTTTACTAAATCTTTCCTTTGTGTACAGTCCCTTTTCGTAACAAGGAACGAATAACTTTCAAGCATTTGGTTTCTATGAAGAAACCATGTGAAAAAGCGTTACTTAAAGTCTTAAGAGACGGAAAAGAGTATGAGTTTAATATTAGTCTAAAACCCGTAAGTCGTCCTTCGCAAATAAATAAAAACTGCATCTTTGTTTCTACTTTACCTGTTGGACTGGTTCACGTTTTGTTAGAACAGAGAATCATGTAAACGATTTTTATGGTTATCTATTGTACGCATGCAGGTGCCACGGCTAGTTCCAATGCATCAATTTGACAAGCCTCCAAGTTATTATATATTCGGGGGTCTTGTATTTGTACCTCTAACTAAACCATACATTGATGATGCTTCTATTTCCAAATATGCTCTAAAGAAGATGCCCAAAAAAGCCGGTGAACAAATCGTAATAATTTCTCAGGTTGGTGCTTTTTTTTTTAACACTTTCCAAACGTGATAATTAGGTTCCGAATGAAGACGGGTGTGGTTCTAATAGTAACGAAAATATCTACACATATGTGTATGTATATATTTTGTTTACTATTAAAACCGCACCACACTTTATTCCCAATTGAACCGCACATCTCCATTAGGCGCCTTAATTTCGAGAGTTAAAGTTTTGTTTCATGATACAGATTCTAGAGAATGACATCAATACAGGATACAACATTTTTGAAGATTTGCAGGTAATATATTTATTGCCTACACTTAGTTAATTTCACACTATTTTTTTTTTTAAAACAGAAATTACAAAAAGAGAACATAAATTTCACACTGTAAAGTTTGTTTTATTATGATGGAAACAGGTGAAGAAAGTGAATGGAGTGCAAGTGCATAATCTCAAACATCTATATAAGCTCATAGAGGAATGCTGCACAGAAAATTTGTTGATGGACTTGGAACAAGATAATATTATCGTCCTCAATTATAAATCTGCGAAAAAAGCCACTTCTAAGATCTTGAAGAAACTCGAAATACCCTCGGCCATGTCCAAGGACCTTCAGCCTAGACAGTTGAATAGGCGCCGCAAAGTTCCTCGATAGAGAAAGAAACATTAATTTGGGCAGTGGGTCAGCTTCTGATGCAGCTTTACCCTTTCAAGGATTGTCACATTTTAGAGGAAATTAATAATTACAAGTTTAATTTTAAGTGTTTGATTTTCTAAACTTTTTTTTGTTATTACCAAATCCAATAATAGAGGATTATATAACTGTTATTGTAGAGAAAGTGATGTGGCTTCGGGAAGCCCAAATTTTGGATGTCAAATTGACTCTTCACTCTTAAATAAGTTCTCTTTAAAAGAGCCATAGAAGCTCAACATTAGGGTTCGGCACAATGTACTCTTCTTCTCTTCAAACACTCTTTGATAGCCGCGGGAACTAAAACTTGCTGGTTTCGGCTTATCCAAAGAGCGTTCTGTTCTTGAGATGTTGGGGGGTATCCTTCTTGAAATGAGAAAATCTTACACGCGGAGGCTATATGAGGATATCTCTCCGGTGGCCACAGAGTTCTTGATGCAGTGCTTTGCGTGGCAGCCTGCAGATAGGGCCACCGCGTCCGCGTATGAGCTCTTGGACCATTCTTTTGTTGCTGAAAATTAACCTTCCGTTTCTTCTTTCTTTCATAAGGAATATTGCCAAAACATGAGGAATTAGATTGCAAAACCTCAAGGCAATCAAAGCCTGGTGGCAGGACATGGCCAACCAAAACCAAATTTCTGTTGGAAAAGCTAGTAGCCATACTCTGCAAGGCTCCTTGTCTAGCAAATGCACCACATATTTCCAACGAGGTAATCAAGTTCCATGTCTACTCTTCTCCGTTATCCACAAATGGCAGATGAGCTAATCGACACAAAAGGTTCCATTCAGACAATCTTCTGGGAACTACTCAGGTCTTCATTTAGTTCTCAAGTCTTCTCTTCAAGATTAAAGTTTCATCTATTCTCACCTTTGCGTTGCTTTGTTCTCCTTTTCAGGAACAAAGAAGAAGCATATTTCATTGCATCAGATGTTCTGAAGAAGATATGCAGTAGCCATAAAGGCGTAGATGCAGTTCGAAAGCTTCCTGCACTGGTAAAACGGTTACACGCCTTAGTTGAGGAGCTAACTCGTAAGGCAAACATCGAGAAACGTTAAGGGACAGACTGAAAAAGAAAAGAGTTGATCTGTTCACTGTCACAACTCTTCTCTGTTTAGATTATGTAGTTACTCTCAGCTTAATAAACCTTGCTGATTTCAGAAATTGACATGACAGGACAGATTCATCATTTTTTTTGTCTCTGTCTATAGTCACAGATTCATGATTCATGTTTTATATGACTAGCGCATGAACCGGATTCAGAAGATTCATGTCGTCAGAAAGAAGAAAATGTGATTCCTCTAGTTTATAACATGACATGAAAAAGAAAAAAACGCATAACTATTTTATGTATCTAGTTTACAACATCACAGGAAAATGTGATTCCTCTAGTTTACAACACCACAGGAAAATGTGATTCTTCTAGTTTCAGAAACAGATTGTAACCAACGTTATGAGAAAGATAAGGAAAGAAATCTGCCCAAAAAAAAAAAAAGATAAGGAAAGAAAAGGTCAGATGAATTGGATGTTGCACTTTGATGAAAGTTTGGGGAGAGCCATTACATTAGATCGCACGAACTGACTGTTGTTGTTGTCTGCTTCAAGACCAAATTTCACAGTTTTAAGACATCCCAACTTGCCCAAGAAATGTCTCATTAGTCTCCGCTCTTGAACAGAACCTCCATACTCTGAAATCTCTAGCACCTTCACTTGACATGTCGATAAACAACATTCGTCCTTCTTCACAATCGTTCTCTTCTTTTTTTGCAACGGGTACTTAGGGATGCAAGGGCATGCATCTCCGCATTTTTTTGATACTCTGTGAACAAGACCCTGGAAAGCAGACACCAATTTTTTGACATGTAATATAATAATGCTAAGAAGAAATAATTAAGAATCACAACAGTACGAAATTGATATACCTTGATGGCTAAAGCGTGTAGATTTGGACAACTCTTGAGCAGAAGTGGCATTACTTGCCATCCTTTCTTCTTGTTACTCTCAATAGATAAATTAATGAGGTTGTTGAACACATGCATGGATTCACAGCAGAAATGAAACGCCTATGATCACAACCAAAAACATAAAATATAAGTGAGATACAGTAGATTGATTATAGTCCTCCACAATTCAATAGCAAAAGCTGACCTCAAGGGAATCGGGAGACAGGTGAAGGGTCGAAATATTGCGTATACCCGCAACTAATTCTGTAACATCACCAAATATAGTCCGTTGTACTTCATAATCATAATCATGATCATCATCGTCATCGTCAGCTTCAGCATCAGCTTCAGCGTCAGCATCAGCGTCAGCTTCAGCGTCAGCGTCAGCGTCAGCGTCAGCGTCAGCGTCAGCGTCAGCGTCAGCGTCAGCGTCAGCGTCAGCGTCAGCGTCAGCGTCAGCGTCAGCATCAGCATCAGCATCAGCATGAGCATGAGCATGAGCATGAGCATGAGCATGAGCATGAGCATGAGCATGAGCATGAGCATGAGCATGAGCATTAGCATAATCAAAATCATAATCATAAACAAAATCACACTCAGAATCATAATCATATCTCTTTGTTGACATCCATAACCTGAGATTCAGCCTGGCTTCGACAAGCGAATCCAAACCAGGAACCTCATACTGGGTGGAGACATAACTAGAATAGTCAAGGTACACAAGACTTGGTGTTTCGAAAAAAACTATTCGGTGGTGAGCGTCAATATCGTCGGGAAGATTGGTAACAATGACAAGTCGCTTGATGGATGCACTTCGGACTTCCGTACCACAACCTGCCGTCAGGTGGGAAAAATCACCGTCACGTATGTATAAATCCTCCAGGACAGGGCAGCCATAGATGAGGCGAGCATAGTTGCAATGATCAAATAGAACTGATAAGAGAGAAAGTGATTTGAGGGATGGGAAAAACACACTCTCGGCTTCAAGGTCGTATTCACCAGATAATGTGAGCTTAACGAGTGTGTTACTCGTGAACAACTTAGTTTCTATAGTAACAAAAGAAAAATGGGTAGGTGAGTCCAAGTGTAGTTCCAATAAAGGGTGTTCCATTGCAGTCGATATCCAACGGTTGACACAACGATAGTATTCATCGGAAGAGCCATATAGTTGACGTTGACGACACAGACAGAGAGAAAACTTCTTGATTCGAGAATTGGTTACCAGAGCAAGTGTTTTCTCTACGAATTCAAAGAAGCAATGTGAACCAAGTGCTTCTTCTTCTTCGTTGGGATACAAAACCATCGTGTCATCAAAACAAAGGGTGTCTACAAGAACCAGCAGATTCCTTCTCCACCTCTTGGACAGAACCAATGTCGAAGCAGCCACTTTTGTCGGAAGTAAAGACAGGATTTTGCCAAGTATCTCATCTGGCAAATTGCTTATCATATCTCTACCCATAATTTAATAGACCTACACACACTAAAACTCGATTATTAAGTTCCTCCTATCGACCTTAATCAAACCATAGAAGCCAAAGTTCAAATCTTTACGACGAACCCCAGAATCAAAGATCGAAGAAGGAGAGAGTACAATTCAGAAAGATAACAAATTTTGAACTAAACAAAAGATAAACTTACGAGGAAGATCCAGAAGCTATAGGTTTGCTTTGACGATGAAAATTGAGAGAGAGAGAGAGAACGCGTTGCTTGCTTTTATAATTTAACTAGATAAGGCCCGCCTATTTTTAGGCGGGCGTAAAAAATAAATATAATTTCGTATCGATAATATTTAAATTCTAAATAGTAATCTATATTTTTCTTATTATTTAATTTAATATTTTGTTTCAAACAAAATTTCAATCTTACACATTGCATACACTTTAACTATTTATTTCAATCATATTTCAATCATACACTTTAACTATTTATTTTATAATTAAAAACTGCATTTTAATTCTACACACTCCATCTTATCGATGATTAGAGGTGTCAAAATGGTTTAAAATTGATGGATCAATCCAAACCAATCCAACTCATGAATCTAATGAGTTGAAAATTTGGATATTAATGGATTAATGGATTAAATGGTTTAATGAGTTTAATGAGTTGGATTGAAATGGTTTGGTTTAAAATGGATTAATGGGTTATCCATAACCAAACCAATAAAAATCAAATAATTGAAATCAAATATGTAAACCAAATATAACCGAATTGAATAACTAAACCGATTTAAGTAAACCGAAATAAACATAATTTTCTTAAATCGCTTAACCATCGATCTCTCTCGGCGTCAAATCTCTCACTGTCGATCTCTCTCAATCTTATGGTTTCACCGGCAAATCCATCGACGGCGGCGACGACGACGACGACGACGACGACGACGATGACGACGACGATGACGACGACGATGACGATGACGATGACGGTGATGGTGATGGTGATGGTGATGATGATGATGATGGTGGTGGTGAATTGATGACAATGGAGTGATGAAGATGATGATGGAGTGATGATGATCATGGTGGTGGTAACATGATAGTTACTAATTATCAATTAATTAGGATTTAAATTATAAAAAAACTATGTTATGGATCAACTCATTAAATCCATTAATCCATTCATTTAAATGAGTTATGGGTTAATCCAAACCATTTGCTAAATGAATTGGATTGATTCATTAACCATTAAACACTAAATCAATATGGATATGGGTTGGTTTGGTTTGGTTTAACCAACTTGACACCCCTATCGATGATATTTGAATTCTACACTGTTTCTATATTTAATTTAGTACTTTTATTGGAAAAAATTCAAATCTTACACACTCCATTTACATTAATATACAATTTAACTATTATTTAATAATGACAAACTCGATTTTGATTCTACACACTTCATCTTAATGAATAAATGCTAAAACAATTATATCAAAATAATATGTATATAAAATCATATCAAATCTATATCTAGATAAGTTAATGAATGGTTGTTTATTTATATGTAAGTTAATGATCTTATATACTTTTTAAAATTATCTTTCTTAAAAGATAATTTTTTTTATTTTTTTAGTTTAAATATTGTGTCTTTAAATTATTTATTTTGGTTTCTACTTTCAGTTTGAATTATATAAGATTTATTATATATCATAGTTCTAATGATTTTAGATAGCGACGTGTGTCATGATTTAAACTACAAATTTACAATATTTATATCAATTTTATTTTCTAATTAGAAATAGGTGATGATTTTAAATAAAGTTTTGTATTGATTATTTGAAAGTCTTGAATAAGTGAGAACCATATATGCTTCTTCTTTGTTTTTGATATTTTAAATTTAGTTATATTATTTTAAACTGTTTATTTAAATTTATATGTTCATATTTGAATTATATAAGATTCATATATATATTTTAATCGATCCCAACTATTTTCATGCAGTTTTTTTCAACCCAAACTCTGATACCCTGCACTTATCAACCCGAACTCACACAATATTTAAATAACAAACTCTGAACTATGTGACTTTTAGCCAATTTCAACATATCCCCGTTATTAAAAAGTATACCGTAAGTTATTGCTGTGGAATAAATTTTTCTTTCAAAATGTTTTTTGAATCAATAATTTTAGTAGTTAAAGAAACAATGCAACAGTGAAAGTAAATATTTTTTTTCTTATTTTTGAAAGATAATTTCTACTTAAAACGTCGGATGGGTCCTTAGCTAGTTTGTTTATATAGAAGTGAGTATGTAGAATAATTATCTTTTTGAAATTGTTAATTTCCTTATAATGATCTTTTTACTTTTAATTTTTTTTTTTGACAATTATCTTTTTATATTTTAAAATTAATAAAATAAAATTATTGTTTTACATATTTCTATTCAATAAGATACATTATTATAATATTTATCTTAATTACATTTTTAAAATTGTTTAGTTTCCTTATAGTTATCTTTTTACTTTTTAAAATTTATAATTTCTTACAATTATCTTTTTATAGTTTTAAAATTAATAAAAGAAAATTTTCGTTTTACACATGTCAAAATCAGAAATCGATAAAATTGCCACATGTCACGATCTTATGAGTTATTGTAATAAAATAAAATTATTGTTTTACATATTTCTATTCAATAAGATACATTTTTATAATATTTATCTTAATTACATTTTTAAAATTGTTTAGTTTCCTTATAATTATCTTTTTACTTTTTAAAATTTATA